TAATACTGAGGGTTCCGAGCTCACAAACGGATTGCGTTCCAAACGTGCATTTGGAAGCCTGCGGTTTGAAAGGCAGAATGCACTTTCCCAAAGAAGTGATGTTATAAATGGTGATTAGGGCCACACACCACAAAACTCCGTGTAACCATAATAGAGCTAAATACTGTACATTTTAGCCAAAAAAGAGTAGAAGCCAATAACGTTACAATACTAATAATTACAGGAGGAGATGAACAATAAAGTTGAGTATCTTTCACTTGTCTTGACTATTAGTGCTTAAGCGAAAGCAGATTTAATTAAAGGAGAATGAAAATGTCTATCCAGTGAGGCTGAGGGGCCACGGAAAACTGGGACTGTAGTCAGGAACCCTGGCAGTTGGGAATCAGATCAGCATGCAGGACTTCTGCCAACTCTAAGAAACTAGTGTCTGCACCTGAAGGCCAAGCCAGCACCCAGAGGGGTATGGGGTGGGGGTGGGGGCGCAGTGTAGATGGAGGGCTGGAGGATGACTGAAAGAGTTAGCCTAATTATCTCTATGCAGCCATTTCATCTGACCCAAGCTAGGACCTGGCTTCTGTGTCCCTCTCCTTTTAGGAATGATTACCCCCATTAATGACCCAGTTTACCGCTGATCCCAAAAATCGCCGAAGTGCAGAACTTTTGGGGTCTCTTTCATACTGATTTTTTTTTTGATTTTAAAGTTTTTTTTATTGGGGTAACACTGGTTTATAACATTGTATAAATTTCAGCTGTACATAATTATATTTCCATTTCTGTGTAAACTACATCATGTCCACCATCCAAAGTTTAATTACCAACCATCACCAAACACACATGACTTTTTACTCCTTTCGCCCTCCCTCCTCCCCGCTTCTCCTCCGGTATCACCAATCTACTCTCCGTATCTATGTGTTTGTTCATTGTTGTTTTTATTTTACACATATGAGTGAAATCATACGATATTTGGCTTTCTCCTTCTGACTTATTTCACTCAGCATAATACCTTCTAGGTCCATCCATGTTGTCACAAATGGCAGGATTTCATCTTTCTATGGCTGAGTAGTATTCCATTGTATGTATATATACCACATCTTCTTTATCCATTCATCAATTGATGAGCACTTAGATTGCTTCATCCTGGCTACTGTGAAGAATGCTGCAATGGACGTAGGAGTGCAAATATCTTTTCAAATTAGTGTTTTCGTGTTCTTTGGATAAATATCCAGAAGTAGAATAGCTGGATCATATGGTATTTCTATTCTTATTTTTTTGAGGAATCTCCATACTGTTTTCCATAGTGTCTGCACCAATTTACATTCCCACCAGCAGTGTATGAGTGTTCCCTTTTCTCCACATCCTCTCTAACACTTGTTATCATACCGATTTCTGAGATCAGACAACCTCTTAGATACTCACATGGCCTACATGGTTTTGAATTTGACACCTCCCACCCCCATACAGACTGAACCTGCTATTGCCATCCCTTTCACAGAAGACAGGCCCCACCAGTTGTCTAGATGCTCCCTCCACCACCCTACTCCATGTGCCCAGCACTGCACTTGGTTAGAGACATTCTGAATCGCCCATTTTAGTTGCCAAGGATCAAAAACACATTTTATCTGTAAATATGAAAGAGACATGAAAAAAGAGGAAACTAAACTGAAAAAGATCATTGGTAAAGTAATTATAGTGAACTTCTGCAAGATCTAACCATTAGGTGGCACCATTGGCCTAAGGCAGTTTGGTTGTCCCGAGGATAGCAGAGAAGGGGAGAAATTAACGAGTGGTCAGGGAGCAGGTAGAAAGGCTGAAGGGAACCACTTTGCAAGAAGTAATTTAACAGGTACAAGACATTCCTGTGAAGCATGCACTCTAGATTAACACATACACATAAACGCAATAATTAATTCCCTTAAAATTACCAAAAAGTCTCGGAATCATTCCTATATGCTGGTGGGGGAGGGGAGGTCAGCAAACTACAGCCTGTTTTTTTTCTTTGGCAACCTGTTTGTGTAAACAAAATTTTATTGAAACACACACACCAAAAAAAAATTACCAAAAAGTCTCAAAATTCTATTTCTTCAAATTGGTTTACATCCCTTGCCCATTGTCTACTGATTTACACTCTTCTAAAATTAATTTGTAACAGTGCTGTTTTTTCTGAGCACTAATCCTTGACAGCTAGATATATGCAAATATATTCTTTTGGTCCATGGCTTGCTTCTTTTTAATGGCAACTTTCTGTGGCACAGAAATTTTAACTTTTAACATAGACTAATTTATTCATCTTTTTTCTTACAATTTGTTCTTTTTTGAGTCTTGTTTAATATATATTTTTAGTCTCTTAAGATAATAAAGATTCTTTTAAATCTTCTTAAAGTTTTGCTTTTTAAACTGGTTTTTTGTCCCAATATGGCATAATTTTTTCTCCAGATGGATAAGCTAATTACTAAATAGTCTATCCTTTCCTCGCTGATTTGCCACTCTTCTTATAAAACTAGTTTTCTGTAAATGCATGTGTCCATTTGGGGGCTATTTTGTTTCACGGATGTATTTCTCTATTCCTGCACCAAATATCATACTTAATTGTTTAACTATTCTTGACTCCATTTTGTCTCTCAAATACCTTTAGGACATTAGGTCATTTCTTCCATTACATCATTACAGTCAGCTCAGGGTTCTAGACCAGGAGATGACAGGAGGCTGCACGGGCTACAACTAATACACTGAAGAGACTGGAGCTAAGCAACAGGAATACAGTTCATCTATTTCAGGATTTATGATAGAATCAGCTGCCAATCATTTGATTTGGAAAAGAAAGTTGCAACTTAATTAACTTTGGTTGGGTGAATTACTCCAAAAAGCAATTGTTAACTTATTGAGAAACGAGATATTGGTTCTGGCCATCTGGAATTTGGTCACGAAAGGAATCGGCTATGAGAGAAGAGATTAGAGCAAATCCATCACTTTGGGTGAGGGAGAAAGGGACTTCTGGAGTTTTATTCTGGTATGATTGCTGAGCTGAAGCCAGACGGAAGATGACTATCTTTGTGTTTACACGTGACTGGGAAGAATCCAGATGAATGTGTGGACATCCTGAACTGGAGAAAAAAAGTGGCCTTTGCCACATGAAGACAGGCCAGAAGCTAGGGAGGGAGGCAACATGTCCCAACAAACTCATTATCTTTATTCCCAAAAATCTGCTGCTCTTTCGATATTCCCATTCTCCGGGATGGCAGCACCATCCACCCAAATGTCAAGCTGCTCAAGCCACATGTCTGAGCACCAACCTTGAGGATCAGTTAAGTCTTATGGATCCTATCACCTAAATTGCTCAGCTCCATCCACACCTCTCCATCTCCCCTCCACTCCATCCCTGCACACACCTTCATACACCACCAAGGCCACTGCCATCTGTAGCTGGAACTACAGCAATAGCTTTCTGACTGGTCCCTCTGTCTTGAGTCATAGTCAAGTCCCCCTTCCCACCCTTGAAGCCAAAAGGCAAGTCTAACAACATCATTTTCTTGCTTATCACTCTGTAACGACTTCCCATTCTCCCTAGGCTACAATTAAACTGTTTAATATGATTTACATACACCTTCTTCTAGATCCGGCCCCACTGCTCTTTGCAACCACTTTCTTGAGTGGCTAAGAGGCCTGATCATGAAGTCGGTCTTCTCTGGGTTCAAATTCTCACTGCAGCACCTTCTAGCTTTGAAACTTGGACAAAGTTCTGCACCTCTCTGTGCTTCAGTGTTCTCATGTGTAAAATGGAAATAACTCCACCATACACCTCATGGAATCGTTGTGAGGACTGAACGAGTTAACACAGTAAAGTGCTTGGGACCGGGCCTGGCATGTAGTAAGCATTCCGGCAGTGCCAGCTGTTACTTTCATTTTAGTTTCTCCAATCCACTGTTTTCTCCAGCTTCCAGGCCTCTGCATCCCCTGTTGCCTCCATCCAAAACACTCTCTCCAACATCCTGATCACACTACAAGGCAGTCTGAGGACGCAGGAGGCAGCACCGCCTGGAAACTGCTAAAAAGGTGAGTTCTCAGGCCCCAGCCAACAATGGGGCAATCCGAGTTGCAACAGTCCCTCCAAGGGATTCTGATGTACACTAAGGCTAGAAAACAAAAGCTTGCACTTACCGTGATAAAGTCTACTGGATGTTTATTCATCTCTACCCTCTGCTAGGTTGTAAGTTCCACAATGGCAGGGATCAGTGTCCATCTTGTTGGTCAGTCTTCACTGGTAGCTCCTTGTAGGTGTTGAAAAATATGAGCCACCACAAACTGGAATGGAGTAAGCCACACTTTGTAAGTCAGACTACCTACTTGTGTGTTTCCTCTTTGTCTATTGCCCTAAATTCACACGAAGTATTCCCACAGCCTTGCATAAATGTTCCAGTTGGTTCCAGCCCTGAGTCCAGGCTTGGGCTTAAGGCTAAGGGGAAGGAGAGCGCCCCCTGAAGGTGGAGAGGACAAAGGCACGTTGTGGGTAATTTCCCAGGGGAAAGCAGGTGTCCCCAAACCTCACAGGGGCCAAGAGGACCTGGGTTTTCTCCCCCAGCGGAGTTTCTCTCCTTTGTCATCTGTGGAGGAGCCAAGTGTGACTCCACCAGGGAACTGTCCACATTATTAAAACTGCAGATAACTGAGGGGAAAAGGGGCAGTGGGTCCAGGGAAAGGGACACGACTGGGGATGCAACAGAGGTTCAATCTCCCAGCATTCAGACAACCACCTTGTCTTCTGATAAACACTTCTGAGGGAGAGAGCTAGGGGAAAACGACCTCTCTTCCTCGCTCCCTCTCTCACCTCCATTTCTTACTCTCCGTATTCCCCGTATCTCTTCCTACCTACCGCTGAGCCGTCCTCCAGCCCCATCACCTGGTAACAGAACCGCTGGTTCCTGCCCAGCGCACAGGCCAGGGCGCAGGCTGTTTTATTAGCGATGGTGATTGACGACTGCTTCGCTACAGAGGGCCCGAGACCCTAAGGGTCTCATCAGTAGTGATGGGGACGCTGATAGTGAGCTCCCATCGCTGGAGGAGGCCAGGGCGCTGGCGAAGGGCGGAGGGGCGGTCGCGCCCGAGGGCTCCCGGCGCCGGCTCCCGCACAGCCCGAGGCGGAGCTGTCCTCTCGGCCGCCGCAGGCTCGGCCCCAGCGCCCTCGTGGTCGGGGCTGCGCCCCTCTGCGGACGCTCGGAGACCCTCCACCGCCGGCTGTGCGCGTTGGCGGCATGGCGCTGGGGGCGGCGGCGCCGGGGCTGGAGGTGCCCCCGCAACACGAGCAGGTACTGGGCGCGGGCGCAGGCCGGGGGACCCGGGGCCAGGGTATCGAGGCTCACGCTGGGGTTGAGCGGGCCTCACAGACAGGTCTCCAAGACCCTCGCTCCTGCCAGGTGTGAACCCGCCGGGGATGGAGAGGCGGATGACCTTCTGGAAGGTGCTCGTAGCTTCGCCTCATCCAGTCCCACCCCAGGGGAGCCGAACTCCTCTCCATTTCTTTCTCTCCTTAGTCGCCTCCCTCTCCTCCTCCTCTTCCTATTTCCCTCCTCCTCCTTTCTCCTCCCTCCTTCCTTCTCTCTCTCCCCACTCAACTTTGTCTCTTCCTGGATGCGGTTTATCCGGCTCATCCCCGTCCATCCCCGGGCGTCCATACTGGCTGTCCCCCTCCTCCTCGCTGGAGGGCCCAGGTGAAGGCCTGGGCATTGGAGGAGGACAGCTGAGGGATGCCGAGTATACATCGGCTTGACTCTGTGGTTCTCAAGCTGGAGCGTGCTTCAGAATCACTCGGAGGGCTAGTTAAAACGCAGATCGCTGGCTCTGCCCCCAGGGTTTCTAATTCCTCACCTCCCGGATGGAGCCTGATCGTTTGCAAGTCTAACTAGTTCCCGGAGGTGCTGCTGCCCGAGCTTTGAAAACCACCGGCCTACCACTTTCTTCCTCCCGCTGGCGGTGATTTCAAACCCAATCATTACTTTGTTTTTCATTCATAGGACATTTCTTAGGCCCTGACCAGGTACCAGGAGCTGTGCTACACATGGGGGAGCAGGGGAGGGGGCGTTGCAATTAGAGGTGGACCTTTCCTCTGCAAGCTTACGTCCTGGAAGGAAAATAAAACAAGGACAAAAATAACTCATAGAGGGTAGGAAGAGATTACTGTCCCCAAAACAGGTCCAGGTGAAGCTTTGTAGGATTTTTAAGAAGCTACAGATTGCCCCTGGCGGGGGGGGGGGGGGGGGGGGGGGGGGGGGGCGGGCAAGGCTGATGGTGGGGGTGGCGTTTGAGCTGGGCCTTGGAGGATGGGTGAGACCTGGCCATGTGGTGATGAGGGGCAATGAGAATTCCAGATGGAGGAAACAGCAGTACCAAATTGCTTGGAGGGGAAAAAAATTGTTGGGGTTGGGGGCGGTGACCATGGGGAAAGGCAGAGATGGGGATGTTCACTCTGACTGGCAGAAATCCTGGGTTCCTGAAAGCTTGTAATGAAAGATAAGGATGTGCTAGGCTGTGGGTGGCCTTGGGTACCAGACTGTACATTTGGGATTTAATCTCTAGAATGGGAGAAGCTGTAAGGAAACTCCATGGCTTCCTTTCTGGGTTCAAACCCAGATCTTCCAAAGGGCCTATGGATGGAGAGCTCTGCACACTGGGAGGGGCAGAAGTATCACTTTTGCTGCTGATGTTTGCTCTCCCGTAAGGCTGACGTCACTGCCTTGCCCACTGTCCTCAGGAGGCGTGGTCCCTCCGTTAACTCTGCCCTGGGAGGGACTCACAGCTTTTCCCTTAAACCCCCTAGCAAGGCTGTGTGGTCCTGGGACCAGCAGCCAAAAAGTGTCACCTGGGAGCCCATGAGAAATGCAGAGTCTCAGTCCCCACCCCAGACCAACTGAATTAAAATCTGCATTTTAACCAGACCCCAAGTGATTGCACATCAAAGTTTGAGCAGTGCTGGTTTAAACTTTACAAGACATGAGGATAATCAAAGAAAAATAGATATGGTTGCTGACCACCCCATAAAAGTTGACTGACCACGCTATGTGTGATAGCACCCCCTCACTCTAAACCTCAGTCTATTTTATTTTCCTTCCTCACCCTTACTGCCACCTGAAGCATGTCTGTCTATTTGTGTATCACCTTGGCTGGAGCTCCAGGAGATCGGGCACTTGATCTGCTTTGCAGCTACTATATTTCCAGCACCTAGAACAGAGTCTGGCAAATGTCAGGCCCTCATTAAATGTTTATTGAATGAATGAGCATACAACCTCATGATCTGGGACACGAGTCTACCCAGCTCCCTGTGTACCTCTTTATGGCAGACACTGTCTCCCTATTCCCCATCCTCCCCCTCCCCAGCTGCACCCCGTGGGGTCCACTGAGCCAGCTGCACCCTGTGTACTTGTGACACTCCTCCAATTTGGGGTGCAAGAGAGGAGAGAGCGTGGATTCAGCAGTTCCCTCTTCTGCTTGTCTGAGCTTTTCAGGCTCTGATTCCCGCCCCCCCCCCCCCCAGAGGACCCATCTCTGCCCCCAAACTGCAAAACTGCTCTCTGCCTTGGGGTAGGGCATACACAGCCCCTCCCCTGCTCTTCATCCATGGGAGTTTTGCCCTTGCCCTGTAACGTGAATTTCATGTCTCTGAACACAACACTCCAAACCTAACATCCTTACCTCCCGCTGACGTGTGTCCCAGGGACATCGGTGTTTTACTGGTCTGGTTTGGTCCTCTTTTTAGCAAGATTTTTCTAACAGATGGATTTTTGCGAGGGAAGAGTTGAAAGTGGGGAAATCAGTTTGGAGTCAGCAGTTCAGGTGAGAAATGATGAGGGCCAGAAGCAGGAGGCTGGCCGTTTTCAAAGATATTGATTGACTGTGTGGTGTACCAGACAGGGGGGATTCAGGGTTGGGTAAGGCCCAGCCCTGCCCTCCTACATATTCAGACAGGTAAATAAACCATCAATGACCATGCGTTGTGGTAACAGTGGGCCTACTGGAGGGGCCTAACCCAAAGGGCTTCCTGGAGGAAGTGGAGTCAAAGGCAACCCCAGAGGGAGGCTGCGGGTGGAGGAAAAGCATTCAGGGGACTGGAAAGTTCTGCTTGGCTGGAGCAGAGGGTGTAAAGGGGCAGTGGAGAGAAATGAGGCTGAAAAGTGACACAGTGTCTTTTGAGCCATGTTAACGACAAGGGCAGCTTGGATTTTAAGCAGGGGGATGATAATGTGATCAGTTTGCTTTTAGTAGGATCACCCTCACTGTTTGAAGGGGGAAAAAGAGTGAAGGCAAGGGCCCCTGGGAGGAGGGGAACACGCTGAACTCCTGGGCCCATCTCTTCTCAGGCTCAGAGAGGCTTTCCCTTGGCGCCCAATCTAAAGAGTCATAGCCCCTCCCCCACCGGTTATTTTTTATCCCACGTTCTCTTTAGTTTCCTCAGAATTTACCACATTAGGTAATTGTTTTCTTCACTTGTTTATTGTTCATACTTCCTCTAGAGCACAAGGCTCAATTCATGAGAACAGGAAACTTGTCTGTCTTAATAACCTTTATGGTATGCCAGCTTCTACCTCAGTGCCTGGCACCCAGGAGGAAGTCCATAAAGATGTGTGGAATGGATGGCATAGAGGCCATCGAGGTGAAAAGAAGTGGTTTGCAAGGAGGGTAAAGGGTCGGAGGTGGAGGATTAGGGTCAAGAATGGTGCCCCAGATTCCTGCTTTAAGCCATTGGATGGATGGGATGTGGGGCTACTGAGTGAGATGGGGCCACCGAAATGGGAGCACTTTGAGGGACAATTAATATGTTCACTTGGGGGCGGGTTGAGTTCATGTGTCTGAGGGACATCCAAGTGGAGGTATGTAGGAGGCACTTAGAAGAATCTAGATCTCAAAAGTGAGATTTGGCCAGGTGAAAGGAGAAGGAAGGTAAATAGGAATGATGATGCAGGGATTAGAAAAAAGGACTTGGCAACTGATAGACAAGGAGAAGAAGAAAGGAAAGGGCAGAGTGAAAAATGAGTTCTTAATTTCTCTTAAGTGACATATGCTTCTGAGGAATATATTCAACATAGACAGGTATAAAAAAGGAGTGAATATCCCAAGATACATCACACCCATGGATCATTCCTGGTAACGTTTTGGTAACCATTCTGGATATCTCTCTCTTCCAGATGTCTCTTTATTCTTTATTTTGTATAACTGTACATTTACATACATTTACATTGATGGGCTCATTGTATACACGACTGCTTTTGCAGCATGCTTTTTCTCTTAACAATATATCATGGAAATATTTCTACATCAATAAATGTGGATCTGCATGATCATTTTAAAGAGCCACATAGATTTCTTTTGTGTAGATATTATAACTCATTAACCAATCTCCCATGGGTTGACAGGTAGATTGTTGCCAATTTTTCAATATTCTAAACAAAACTGTGTGAACACCTGTGTCATCCTTCCTTGTGTATCTGCTCTTCATTTCCTGAGAGAATATTCCTAGAATATTCTACAGTAGAACAAACACTTAAAATTTTGACATGTCTTGCCAAATTTCTCTCCAGAGAAATGGTCTTAATGTACACCCACACCTGAAGTGCACAAAGAGCCCGTTTTACCTCATCAGCACTGGCTGCCAAACGTTTTTCCCCTTGTCATCTTTATACGTGAAAATTATACCGCATTGCTATGGAAATTTTTTCTTTTTAGTGCTAATTTTTATTGAAATTATGTACATCCACAATTTAAAGAGTCAAATAGTTCTACAAGATGAAAAAACAGCAGCCCCACTCCCACTCCACCCGTCTCCATTCCTGATTTCCATTCCCCAGAGGCAATGCCTTTCAATTCTTTGAGCCATTTTTTCTAGTATATGCTCCATATGTTGAATAATACAATTGTGTAATATTTCTTGATTTTTAGTCAATGGTATTATGTATTGATTCTCTGCTGTGGAAGATAAGAACTAAACTCTCTAACACCACTCTGCCCACTCTATCCTACTGCCACTGCTGCCCCTTCTTCCATCTTCTCAGTTTAGTTATAGCACCAGTTGTGGCTGTCTTTATCCAATGCTTACATTACTGTATCTATTTGCATATTTCAATTTCCTTAGTTTTCTGTGTACCACTCATCTGCGCATCCCAAAACCCCCTGCTGGAATAGTACATATCTTCTCAATACGTTGGAACACACTGGCTGATCTCTCAGCTTCATCTTTTTCTTGGAGATGCACTTGGCGAAACCACCTGTGCCCCTGGTCCAGCCGGGATGCCTGCACCTTCCGTCTACTGCCTAGACA